CAAAAAAAAAAAAAAAAAAAAGTTTCTTTAGGCCAGCTGGAAGGAGCACAACTCTCTAGTCTAGTGCTAATGACACCTACTTGGAAGAGGGAAAACTTGGGTTCTAGTCTTGAATCTAATGTAAAGTGCCCACACAGTTCTTTAACAGTGGTTAGATAAAAAATATACCCCAGGATCCAGGTTTTTATGTCTCTTTTTGGAGGTATTCCTGTAAGCTGAGTAGTACATTTATACGGCAAGAAAAAAATGCATTCTTCAAACTCCAATAAAATCTACCTTGTCAAATTGCATAAACGTCCTGTTATTTTACATTTAAATACATATTTGCAACATATGTTTTTCAGGAACCTTTGCAAATGACCAGAGCATTTTACATTACAACAGGCATGAGTGACAGCATTTTCATAGTTTGCTGTCTTTTTGTTGGAATAGTATTGAGACTTTGCATATATGCAGACATTGTTTCGTGCAGACTACCATATCTGCAAACCCCCTGCCAAAAGTTGGCAAAGCAAGTGGGTTACCTCCTTGACTTGTATTGCTTTGTTCCTCATTTTTTTTCTTTCTATTTCCTCCACCCCTTTTCCCTCCCCAGACTGCAGGTTATAGCTGATAGATTGATGGAGCACTTTGTGAGCTCTGGGCTGATGATCAAAGAGTGGGATAGAGTAAAACTCCATGCTACTGTCATGAACACTCTCTTTAGGAAAGACCCAAATGGTAGGTATCTGCAGAACCTTTTTTGAAACTTTGTGAACTACAGCTGTACTTCTGAATAGGAAATGCTCTTCTCCCTGAGATTATTTGTGTCTAAATTATTACTGCGATTTGGTTAGCATTCATTGGATCTCGGCCAGATGATAACAAATTTGAGCCTCACTTCAGGTTTTGGAATCCAAGTTTTCATTTAAGTATAGTAATAACAAGTGTGTTGGCCATGAGAGATCTTCATGTGCACGTATGAAGTTAAAAGATGGTTCTGTTGAATCAAACTATGGATTATTTTTTTTTAAATAGTGCACAATATTTTATCAGTATTCTCTGATATCCAAGACTGAATATGAGTGCCTGTTTAGTGCGTATTCATTGCTCTGCTAAAACGTTTCTGCATGAACAGCAACATTTTTCATCTAACTCAGGGGTGCTCAACCTCTGGCCTGCAGGCCAAATGCAGTCCATGGAGCCATAGGTATCTGACTTGCACGGCTCCCTATGGATTGGGAAATATGGCAGCAGGTGAGCAATGGCAATAAATATGGCCACTGCCCCCCACTGCCAAATTCCCCGACTCTGAATCCTGCGCAGCAGTTTGAGGTCAGGTCACATCCCCTTTCCCTCACCCTCACAGCTGAATGAGGCCAAACCATGCTGCCTTTCCCTGTGGGTCTGGGTTGGTCAAGCCCTCT